GGGACCCCGAGAAAAATCCACACGACCACGGGCAGAACATTCAAACTCCGAATATACAGCAGGAGGCGTCAGGGTGGGGATCGCTCCCACGACCTCCTGCATACCAGGCGAGGTAGTTAACACGGTGGGGTAGTGAGCTAACAACGCAGCTGAGTGATATTTTTAAACAGGTCCTATGCGGCCCCTTCCAACCAACCCTCATTGTGCAGCGTGATGAAGTATGGGCAACACAACCGCCATGGGCTACACCTTCATCCAGCAGTGTGTGTCGAACTTGCTTCGTACCTTACATAGCCAACCGTTTTGATCGGAGGTACGGGATAAGACAATGGGATGCAAGTTATCGATAGGACTTTAATTTAGCTTGTCAGAACCCATACGCTTACATCATCACTCTTCCATTCACACACACACTCCGACCATCTCACTCACAACACCACACGCTCAGCTCCCTACCTCACACCACACTTCACTGTCTGACCCACTCCTTCATTTGAACATTCTCTCTCACACCCTCTCACGTTCACCAACACTCTTGACACCCTCACACCGCATAGCCTCATTCTCTCACCCACTCAAAACAAGGTAAAAGATCCCCCGTGTAGCCTGAACAGACTGTTGGGGCAAGTGCTGTTAGCGAGCAGCACCCGTGAAGGCTGCCGGCACTGTGGCACACGAGGGGGTGGGTGGCTACCAGCATCACGCCCGGCCGCCTTTGTCTCCCCCAGTGACGATGTTTACTACACACCGCACCAGGTACATTATTTAAGGCCTAGTCGACCTAGGGTAATCCCAGGACCGGTTCAGATAATCGTCACCGGTGTTGGCCGTGAGCGGGAATTCAACTCTCGAGTGGCCGGGTTCGTAGCGCAGCGTAGCGCTAACCGCTGCGCCACCGCTCCCCACTACCCACGCGCTGTGGTGTTTGGTGCCCATTGAGGGCGCGGGCGCTCACGGCGGGGGCTGTGCGCGCCCCGGGGCTCCCCGTCGGGGCTGCATCCCCCGTCCGCGTTTCCCGCGTCCCCCCCCGGGCAGGCGAGGGGCTCCAGGGCGCTGAACCTCCTCACCGACGCCTCCAGCTCTCGGCCGAGGCCGCTCAGCGTGGCCACGATGGCGTCGAGCAGCGCGGCCAGGCCGGGCTGCTCGGCGCCCTCGTGCGGCGGCCACTCGGGCCCCCGGGGCCCCTGGCTGCCCCCGGCCGCCTTGACGACGCGGCGCAGGGCGGCGTAGAGGGCGAAGGGCAGGCGCTGGCGCGCCGTGGCCAGCAGCTCCAGGGTGACCTGGGCGTCCTCGGCGCACGCCAGCAGATCCTCGTAGTCCCCGATCCCCAGCTCCCGCTCCATGGCCTGGGCGAACGGCAGCTTCATGCCCTGGGCCGAGAGCCACGCGGGGAAGTCCGCCCGCGGGTCCGGCCCAGCCGCCAACGAAGCCATCGGAGTGGCCGTGGCCACCGCCGCCGCTGCCATCGCTGCTGCTCGATCCAAGGGGTCCCCTATCGGCCTGGGACCCCTGACACGGGACCCCGCTACCCCAGGTTCCCCTCCAAGCGTGCGGTTCTCACTGGGGGCGCCGCTCCTTCCTGCGCCTTCCCTCTGCTCCCCTCTTGCCCCCGATACCCAAGACCCCCTCGGTTACACTCCCCGCGAATTCACTGCTGCCCCACGCTACTCAGGGCTCCTCCTATCCCGCCTCTACCACCACCACCACCACCACTCTTTATACCCCTCTCTCTGATCCCGTCTCTACTCGCCCCCCCCCCAGCACCCCCTCCCTCCGCTCCCTCTTGCTCCCCCCTCTCTGCTTCCCCTCTGCTACCCCTCGCCCACCCCCTCTGCTCCCCCCCTCTCTGCCCCCCTCCCCCCTCTCTGCCCCCCCTCTCTGCTCCCCCCCTCTCTGCCCCCCTCCCCCCTCTCTGCCCCCCCTCTCTGCTCCCCCTCCTCTCTGCTCCCCCCCTCTCTGCTCCCCCCCTCTCTGCTCCCCCCCTCCTCTCTGCTCCCCCCCCCCCTCTCTGCTCCCCCCTCTCTGCTCCCCCCCCCTCTCTGCTCCCCTCCTCTCTGCTCCACCCCCCTCTCTGCTCCCCCCCTCTCTGCTCCCCCCCTCCTCTCTGCTCCCCCCCCTCTCTGTTCCCCCCTCCTCTCTTCTCCCCCCCTCTCTGCTCCCCCCCCTCTCTGCTACCCGCCCCTCTCTGCTCCCCCCCCTCTCTGCTCCTCCCCCTCTCTGCTCCCCCCCCTCTCTGCTCCCCCCCTCTCTGCTCCCCCCCTCCTCTCTTCTCCCCCCCTCCTCTCTGCTCCCCCCCACTCTCTGCTCCCCCCCCTCTCTGCTCCCCCCCCTCTCTGCTCCCCCCCTCTGCTCCCCCCCTCTCTGCTCCCCCCCTCTGCTCCCCCCCTCTCTGCTCCCCCTCTCTGCTCCCCCTCACCGCCCCTCTCTGCTCCCCCTCGCCCCCCCCCCCTCGCCCCCCCCTCGCCCTCTGTTCCCCCCCCTCCGCTCGCCCCCCCTCCCGCTCGCCCCCCCCCCCTCCGCTCGCCCCCCCCTCCGCTCGCCCCCCCCCTCCGCTCGCCCCCCCCCTCCGCTCGCCCCCCCCCCCTCCGCTCGCCCCCCCCCCCCTCCGCTCGCCCCCCCCCCTCCGCTCGCCCCCCCCCCTTTCCGCTTCGACCCCGGTGGCTCCGGCCGCTCCTGGTACACGCGCCGCTACAGCAAGACGCCCGCTCATTTGCCGCGGCTCTCGACCAATGAGCGTGCCGCTTGCTTAGAGGCAGCCGCCAATTGGCGACCGGGGTCCTCCGGGCGTCTCCACGGCAACGAGTGGCGTGGAGCCTGCAGGCCCAGGCCCTCCGGGGGCGTTACACGAGCGACGCGGAATGAGAAGATTTATTAATACCGGAGGAATCCGATGAGCTATAAAGCTCTTTTTTTCTCTCACGTCACGACAACAAACGAAACAAAAAAAACGACGATAGGAGTGCAAAATGTTGGAAAGGTAATTAAACCGGTTTAGATCTCCAACCGGTTAGTGCTGCACTCGTAACGAAATTTGACGTTTTGTTTACGTGACAATTTTGACAAACCCCGAATTGGTTGAACACGCAGTAGGATTTCACGACCAATATTATCCATCGCAGGTTTTCGGGTTAGGTCGCGTAAAGATAAATGTCGTTAAACCCGCCACCACCCGACACAGCCAAATGTAAATGTTGCGGGTTTACTCAAACACATCGGGCGTGCTGTACTAGTAACGAATTTGCACGTTTTGTTTATGTGATAAACCCTTTACGAATTGGCTGTGGCGGGTTTAACCACATTTATATTTACGCGATCTAGCCCCCCCCAAAAAAACCTGTATTATGAACCACAGAGGAACTGGCAACAACCCCACTCAATCTTGATTTGAAGCTTTCGTGACCGCAGGAATCCATACTCTTTGGTTCTTTCAGTAAAGTCACGTGGGTATAAAATAACATAATTCACGACGTTTCGGGCGCAACACAAGCGTGTTGCCGCGATCCCGGTGGCAGCTGAGTCAATGACCCCCTCCAGCCTCTTTTTCTCACTCCGAGTGGTCGGCTCGTTCACTCGGGCTCACACCAAGACCACGAAAATACTTTTACAAGAACACGTTTTTATTTGGCGAACGTTTTTAAAACCTCGAAAAGCACTGAATTTCATTTTAAACAAACACCACCTTTCGCTCATTTGTCCCGCTAGGTAGGGCCCATTTCCAAGTCCTCTCTTTCCGCAGTCTTTGATCGATCGCCATCTCCACAGTAACACTGCATGTTCTTGCTGAAAACTTATCTCTGTCTTCTAAGATCTTTCTCCTTCCCACAATTTTCATGATCTGAACTTTCATTCAAATGTCTTCCGACTTTCTTCCCATTTCTTTAGTGTTCGGCTCTCGAGTCATCCATGAACAATGGCCTCATCACCACCTTATCCACCATTCTCTTAAGATTAATTTGGATTTTCTTGTGTCACACCACTTCATCCATGCCTCGTTTATTCTGCTGATGATCTCTTCATCGATCTATCCAACCAGTTGCACTTGCCGGTTTCAGTTCTCCGTTTTCGCCTTGCTGATACGCACCTCCGATTTGCACGGTCTGCTATGTACGGTGCAAAAAAAGTTCAACATACATACGTAAACAATGCCACTCCAGAGTGTACCGCCATGCTTCCATGTCGTTTCAGCTCTTCACTATAAACGTACCCCAAGGGGACATCCTATTATCTTTCCTTCGAGAATGTATTTAGGAACAGCACGAAAAGGAATGGGCTCAAAACCAACCCTTGCTTAACTCTAGCCGTGAATTATTCCCTCGTCGTCATCATGTTTTGCACAAACTTCAAGTATAGTTTCGGTCATAGTCGCTGCCTCACGCACCATCATCTTACTTCTCTCGATACTCAATGAACACAAGGTGGAGATTTTGTTCCATTTCTACCTGTACTGCTCTACCAGAAGCCACACCTTAAAGATGGCATCTTTTGCTTACCTGCCCAGCATGAAGCCAAAGTGTCGCCAATTTAATCTTCACGTCTCGGTCTACGATCGATCGTCCTCTTACATAGCTTCAAAGTGTGGCTCGTAAGCTTTATGCCTCTATAATTAAAAACATTATTGTGCATCTCAATTATTCTTGAATATGGGTAACCATTCATAAGAGGTTTTTGGGTTAGATCACGTAAACATGTAAATGTGTTGTTAAAATCCGCCACCACCCCGACTAGTAAGGGTTGTCACGCAAACAGAACATGCCAAATCGCCACTAGTACAGCACACCGTTGTGTTGGAGAGCCAAGCCACAACATTTACAAACTGAGTACGTTTCGCCAGTAATTACAACTAGCTTCATCAGGCAACAGCCAGATTTGTGAAATCTAACTGTTTCGTTCCTTATATAGAGGCGCAGATGTGTTGACCACCCTTCTGCGCTCTTGCACAATGATGGGGGGGGGGGGCAGGATTACTGAGGCAACCGTACATTATGCATGTGCATTATGCCTCCGCCCATCCAGGCTTCCTGCATTCTGAACTTGTTACAAGAGTTGGGTTAGGCAGTGCATGCCTTCGATCCCCAGTGCCTTCCTGTTGGTAATCTCTATATTAAACTCTTCCTCCTACTAAGGGCATCACCCACTTTCTCCCCTATCGGTTCTACTCACACCATTGGTTTACTGACTTTTTGCTCCAACTTTCTATAGGGTTCTCTTCATTCATGAGTTTCTCAAAGTGACTTTTTCAACAGTCCCTTATTAATATTTTTCTTAATTTGTCAACATTTTAACTCCTTTGTCCTTAAAGAACCACACTTCAGCAGTGTCTATGACGTGCCTATCCAGAAACTTTCCCAATCAGTATACATCCTTCTCATCTTACTTTGAACTCCAGTCGGTTAAACAAATTTTCAAAGGCTTTGGTCTCAGCTTCCGAACCCAAACACTACCGCTTACAAAAATATCTCCGGGCACTTGCTGTGGGCAAAAACGAACCAGAACGTCCGCTTTTGTGGGGATTAAACTCTGTCCATCATCAGGGTCGCCATCATCATGAGCCCCAGGCACCATCGGCGCGGTGCCCCTCCCAACAAGTGCCATCTTCGCTCGTCCATGATCTCACGTTCACCATCAAATGCCAACTCCAGCCGTCTGTGACGAGGTATCCACATGACGCGGAGCGTCCGAATAAATTACACCAACTGGGCCTGGAGATCATTCGATGAGGCAGGTGGTAAGGGCCAGAAGAACAGGAAGCCTTAAGAGTCCTCGGACATTTATGGTGACCGGAAAATGACAGCAGTGGGCAGGGCCCCGTCACGTGAGCTCAGCCATGAGTTCTGCGATCCCAATGTGCTGTTGATGCTGTTCATGCTGCTGCTGTTCGTGCTTGATGAGGTGGTGCCAGCGCAGGTGCGTGCGAATGTGGCGTGTGAGGTTGGACGACTGCGAAAAGCGCTTGCCGCACTCCTCACACCGGTACGGCTGCTCGCCCGTGTGCGTGCGCCGGTGCCGGCTGAGGTTGCTGGACTGCGTGAAGCGCCGTCCACACTGGTCGCACGAGTATGCGCCCTGGCCGCGGCCGGTGCCGCTCCCCTCCCCGTCGGGCTCACCGGCTCTGTCAGCCTCACCGGCTCTGTCAGCCTCACCGGCTCTGTCAGCCTCACCAGGAACGCCGGAAGCAGCCGCCGCTCTGCCCGGCCACCCCACGCTCTGATGCCTGCGCCGCTGCTGGTGTTGCTTCTTGGGAAGGTGGCGCTGGTAGTGGCGGCGAAGTGGGGCCCCGAGGAGCATTTCGCGCCGGCTCGGGAGCAACACTGGCAGCTGCTGGTGCTGGAGAGGAGGGCCCAGCATGGGTGCTGGTGTCGGGGCCCTCAATACAGCCTCCCTGGTACCTGGGTAGCTGTCGTTACCTGCGGTATAACCGCAACACCATCACTGATACCATCACAAACACCAACACTACTACCACCACCATAACCGCACATACAACGGTCACCTAAAACAACATCACTTTTACCATCACCAATAACACCAATTAGATCCCCACCATTGCCACCAGCACGATCATCACAACATCACCAACGCCACCATCAGTCATCACGACCAACATCACTACCACTACTATTTACATTCTACCAACACCATTATCACCACTATCATCGCCACCTACAACCTCATCAATACCATCAATACTATCAACACCACAACCACTGTGTACGTGTTGTATGTGCGTGTTGTTCGTGCGTCACTTAGTGGCGAATGGCAGTTATCGTCTGTGGGTGTTTTATGTGTGTGTGTACGTGTGGTGTACGCATTGTGCAAGTGTGTACATGTGGTGTGTTTGTGCGCGTGCGTTTCCTCGCATACCGACACACACGTGCTGCGACTCCACAATCTCCAACTTCACTTCCGGCCAAATGTCTGCGATGTCCTCGTCCCTCGGGCCCTCCAACTCTGAACACACAGAGATCCCCCAGCACGCTATGGCCTACACTTGCGAATGACGAAATCACGCCGTCTGCAACGTCCACAGCGGCCGTCACGTTTCTGCTAACCTCCCGCACACGTCACCAAAGTTACTGGCAATCGAAGCATGTGGGGTGGGCCCCGTGATGTCTCCCGGAGATTCAGCAGGGACCCACCTTCCCACATCTTCTCCGTCTTGATGTCCATGTTGGCCCACATCGGCCGCACGTCCCTGCCCGGGCCGTGTGGCCCCCACTCGGGGCCCTGGTCCCTCAGGTCCTGCATGGAGATGTGCTCTGCCTCATGTTCCACCACCTCGTCCTCCAGGACCCCGGCCTCCAGCTGCCCCTCCTCATCTCCTGGGTCACATGTGGCTAACGAGCCAATCACAACACACAACATTTACTCACTGCTTTCAGGCCAAGATGTGAAATCATGCATCGATAAAAATAGATTCTTATGATTCAGATTTAGAAATGTATTTATGCGTGTGAGAATCGATTATTTACAATCATGAAAAGTTTATGTAAATTACAACTAATGCTCAATTAGGCTAATTAAGTGAATTTGACTATACAAACAAGACAAGATAAAAAAATGATTCTTGAATCAAATGACGAAGACCTCTAATCATGACAATTTATCAAATCGCTGTTAAAGGAATTTACCACACGCCAAGAGTGCTTCACACCTGTTCCATCACGACCACACGCTTGTGGCTGCGGTGACACTAACGTCCACCCCACGTCCACCTCGCATCCTGAGGCCTCACCGAGGGGCGGGGAGCCATCGTCCACCACGTCGTTGAGCGTCCACATCCGCGGCAGACGGCGCTCGTTCACAGCCACGGGGCTCGGTTCATCCCTGCATGGCGACGCCTGCCCCAGCAACTCCTTGCTTATCACTTCTGCAGGATCTGCACACCACACGGACACACAAAGATCCCCCGTGTATCCAACACAGGCTGCTGGGGCAAGTGCCGTTAGTGAACACCAATGAAGGCTGCCACGGCTCACGACACGAGGGGGTGGTTAGGCAAGCAACACGCCCAGGCACCTTTGTATAGCCAGCGCTGGTGTTTATGGACGTCACCAGGTACTCATTTTGAATGCTGAGTTGAGTACAGGAGGCCCAGAACTGGTTCAGAAAGTTGCCACTGATGTTGGCCCTGGGTAGAAATAGACTGCAGGCAGGTTGCCAGTTTCGTAGCACAGTGTGTTAACCACTTTACGACTGCTCCCCACAAATAGATATATTTACACACACAAACAAGGGTGCGGACACACAGACAACAGGTACACCTTTTTCTATCTACGTGACTTTACCGAAAGAACCAAGCATATAAGGTACACATGTACTACATCTGTAAAAAATCAGTACCAGAACTGTAATCATGATGATGACAGCAAGAGACACAAGTGTTGGTGGTAGTGTTGTTTACTATGGTGATACTTCTGGTGCCGGGATGGATGGTTGATTATTTTAGTCAGGGCGACACAGGCATGACCCCACCTGGTGCGTTGTCAGCGCCTGTGATGACAGGGCTCGGGAAGGGGCTGGCATCGTGCACGGGATCACGGACACCACTGAACGCCGGGTCCAGCGACCCGAACTTGTGCGCCGACTGCAGCAGCTCCTGCCCCAGCGTCTGCAGCATGGCCACAATCATGTCGAGGAGGTCTCGCAGGGCCAGGGGGTTCTCACATCCCGTTCCCTCCCGGGCCCTCCAGCTCCCCGCGGGGCCCTCGGCCGCTCCGGCCGCCGCTGCCGCCTTGACGACTCGGCGCAGGGCGGCGTAGAGGGCGAAGGGCAGGCGCTGGCGCGCCGTGGCCAGCAGCTCCAGGGTGACCTGGGCGTCCTCGGCGCACGCCAGCAGATCCTCGTAGTCCCCGATCCCCAGCTCCCGCTCCATGGCCTGGGCGAACGGCAGCTTCATGCCCTGGGCCGAGAGCCACGCGGGGAAGTCCGCCCGCGGGTCCGGTCCTGGCAACGCCGCGCTGCTGCCGCTCAGCATCGCCACCGCCATCGTCAGTCGAAGTCTGCGCGACAGAGAAGCCCGGTGCCGGTTACAGACTCCACCCTCGTCCACGATGAGAAGTCCCAACAGGCGGCATCAGCTTCAGGAGACGACACGGAACTTGATCTCTGCTGACCGTTTGCAAAATGTGTTACTTGCCGTGTTGGTGAACTGCACCTCCCATGCAGTGCAGCTCACACAACTCCAGCCACAATTAACCGTGAAAACAAGTCAGAGTAATGTCCTGCGCAGACGAGCATTGAAGCCGTGCTCATCACCTCTTTTAGAGTCCTAAGTCATCGATGAAAATTGCACATTCCTATGGCGCGGGCGAGTCTCTCCAGAGTACCTGTGTCGACTTCGCCACGAAGTTGACGATCAAGTTTGCGACCCCGGGGGGTGATGATGGGGTTGAGTCAACAACACCGCCCCAACTGCAACCGAACCCAATAAACCCACTTGCACTGCACGATGAAGAAGCATGGCTGTCGCGGGAGCGCGAAGGGCAGGGGTAGAGAGAGATACACGAGGGCAGGTCAGAGGGCAAGGGGCAGAGGGCAAGGGGCAGAGGAAAGAAGGGCAGGGTGGTGGAGTAGAAATGAGAGAGGGAGGGGGGGTATGCAGTGGCGTCACTAGGGTTGGTGTCACCCAGTGCGGTAACTCATGGTTTCATTTAAATTGCTTAAATGTAATATATGTTAACACTGTTTTCGTAAAATCTTTGTACACTGAGTTACATTATTAGTTACAACATTATTAGTAACTGAGCCGGAAGCCTTTTTTTAAAAATTCTCCTCTTTGCTTTAATTACGACTTAAGTCTCAAAAAAGTTATTGATATAGGTTCACAATTACTAATTACCACAATATTGTAGCTAACCAGAAAATTTGACAAAATCGGCGACCATAAAAACACACGAGCAACGAAAACAGCGGCGCGTGCAGACGAAACCACGTGACTCGAAGCGTCACTGTGATTGGGTAACCATGACAGCTCTGACCGGAGCGCATTAGAAAGGTTTAAAAAAAAACGTAAATTAGCCTTGTAGGTATATTGATAGAGTACATGTAAGCTGGGCTTACGAAAAAAAATGTTGTTATAACTACTGGGATCTTATTAAAAATATAAATTTCTGCTAAAACACTGCGCAAAAATGTTACAGACGGTCGTGTTATGTGTCACCCCCTGACGGTGCCACCCGGTGTAGCCCGCCACTGGGGGGTAAGAACTGGGAGAGAAACCGGCACACGACAGATAACACGTGGGGGGGGGGGGCAGCGCCGGGGGGGGGCAGCGCCGGGGGGGGGGGGGGCTGCGCCGGGGGGGGGCAGCGCCGAGTGGGGGCAGCGCCGAGTGGGAGGAGGAGGGAAGTGGGGGTTAGGACGGAGGGGGAGGAGGAGGACGTGGGTAAGGCGGGGTAGAGAAAGGGGAAATATCGGTCAGGGCCTCTCGTAACCGGGGCCCTCTAGGCCCAGCGTCAGGCCCGGCCTCGGGATCCACAGGAACCGCACCGCCGACCCCCAAGGACCCCCCCCCCCGAGGAGCTGAGATGAGAAAGGGGATCACCTTGAGAACCCGGCTACGGAGCACAAGGAAGGGATGTTGGGGGGGGGGTGGAGGGGGTAGAGGGGGGGGCCGGGGGGGGTCCTCACGAGTCCTCACCTCGAGCGCAAGCGCCCCCGCCCTGAGTGCCGCAAATTCGATTCCGATTCCTCTGGCGATCGCTTAAATACGGATCGATTTTTGCGCCTACGGTCACACGGTGGGGAATCGACGTCGCCCACGTAAATCGACGCTCAGAGGAGTCGGCCGGAGTGGGCAAATCGCTACGGGTGGCGCGTCGCGATTCCGCGCTTACCCCCCCTCCCCAGCCCACGTGCGGTGATGATTGGTAATCAACCCTCATTTGCATATATGCAAATATATGCAAATGAACATATATGATAATTAGCGGCTGACTGAAGGGCGAGGAAGCGGAGGAAGCCGGGGGGTTTTTCTCGCCCCCCTCCCATTTTCCGAGTCCTAAAGTCCTTAAACAGGAAAAACAACCTATACAAAATAAGAATGTTACCCTTTCTGGCAAATAAAAACAGGTACTCTCTGTTTCTTTCGGCAAAGTCACGTAGATAGAAACAAATAATAAAAGGTCTACCAAGGTGCTCTGCAAACCCCTCGGGATACCATCAGAGATTTGTTCATGAAGCCATCCAGAAATACAAACACAGACAAAACTTTCAACGAGAACATGGATTCAGATTGAGCAATCATTGTAAGGACGTGATAAAACCAGGTCAAGTTTTAACTGCTGTGATTTTCACTCACCCACCCGTGTCGTTTTTGTTTTCGGTTACTAATTCAAGCTCATTGACATGCTAATTTCTCCAGCCCCACTCGTCCCTGCACGCCACGACTCTACAAAACTCCCCCCCCCCCCCACTCTGTGCCGATATAAAGCCACAACAGCAGATAATTTTCTCGCCCGATGACGGACGCTCGTGTTGCGACCGAAACATCGTGTTCATTTTATTATTTTTTCTACCTACGTGACTTTACCGAAAGAACCAGAGTATGGATTCCTGCAGTCACGAAAGCTTCAAAACAAGAATAAAAACAGGTGTTAAGATGATCAAACACCAAATAGACACCTGTTACAAGTTGCACCAAAAAAACCCGAAGACTTTAATTGAATACCGAGTCTGTGACCACACACCTATATTCTTGTATAGGGAAATTCAGTTTTCAGGTCCATACGGCGTACAGCAGTTTTTTGTTGTATATTTATTTGTGTTTCTCCCTTGTGATGGGACTTTGTACGATGAACGTTGAGATTTCTAATGGCACGGTGTGACTATTAAGGTCTGAATTGGTCTGTAATAAGGTCAGCGCTGATCAGGGGGTTGACAAGTTGACAGGTTTGTGACCAGATGCACAAGAGATTGGCTGCTGCTGATACTCACGGTCTCCCTGCTAGCGCTGTTCAGGCCCATGGGGTTGGTGGTGGTCATATTGATTGGTGGTCCTCCCTGAACGACGGAAATTCCACATTCTCATGTAAAAACACGCGGACGAGAGACCATGCGGATTGCAGAACGTGTGGTTAGACAGCATGCGGCTATTTTAAAAAGTTAGCGGCTTCTCGTTCAAATGGGCACTGACGCAGTTCCAAATTCCTGATCGCAGCCCTGAGCAAGTGGTGTCAATTCGACATTACCATGGCGGACGCGAGTCTAATCATAGGACAACCACTGTTGCAGTGGCGGGAGGTGCCTCAGTGGCTCACGGTGGCGAGCTAAGCGAGATAGGCGACACGGTGGCGGCTAGATGTTAACTACTTCGCCTGGTATGCAGGTCGTGAGTTCGATCCAAACCCTGACGCCAGGTTTGCGTCTCTCTCCCCATGGTCGCGTGATTTTTCTCCGGGTCCTCTGGTTATTCCCTCCACATTTAGAAGCATGCGTTTCGAGTATTTGGCTGCTGTAAATTTCCACGTGATGAGAAGCCACTTCGTTGAGCTTTCATGTGGCTAGGCCACGTCTGAAAAAATGCTATTAGAGCTCTGTGGCCCTTAGCTGGTAAAATAAAATAAAAAGTATAAATAGTATAGTGGAATCGTTTCTCTTTGAATCCCTCACCTCAGTTTATTGTAAAAACAAAATCCAATCGCGATTTCAACTCCGCTATCGTAAATGAATGCCCCACGCTTCATTTCTTCCAGAAGCATATTCCTCGAATCCAACCTCCCAAATCACAAGTCGCTCCGTCGGCTTTCAACTTGAAAAGCAACACACCTCTGTATGATGAACTTCTTTCGCATCATACGTAATCAACCGTTCTAATTAGAGGTGTGGGAAAGCATGACTGTCCATCGCAGGATTCAACGTATATCCTTGTTTATGTATTAGTATTATAACCACCGTATAACTGTTGAATGTTTCTGTTACTTAGTTTTTATTTGCACGGTGTTCAACCTGGTGATCTGCCCGAGCCGATTTGTGCTGCAAAGAATTTAATATTTACAGTAACGTCGATTACAGATTGTGATATGTTCAGATTCCCCATTATGCGATGCAGTTGCCTTGTTCCGATTTTTATTCAGTTTTGGTTTTGTCATTTTGGTGACCCGGGTCAACGCTTGCAAATGAGACTCTGTCCTGGTCTCTTCGAGTTCTCACACCCTGGGTTAAACAAATTAAACTTGAAACTCCTTCCCTCGGTAGGTCCTGTGCCTACTTAAGCGATGGTGAAAGTGCAGACATCCTAGGCTGTCCGTTACCATCGCCGCAATGCCTTACTCGTTGACTAGACGTCGGCTGTGCTACCCCAATTCTTGTCGCGTGTGAAATCAAATTAAATGAACTGCAATAACGAAACATCAAAATCAACCGTGTTAAAATTTAGACAAATATACTCCCCATGACTAACACGGTACAATAACAGCGGTGGAGAAGCGAGTTTACCAAATGGCCTGGTAAATCAGTAACTGTTACCTTTACGTGCTATGAAAAGGGCCAATACCTGAAACGTCACCTACTATATTTTTCCTTTCGAGACCACAGCGTTATTGACGAACGTGTTGGGGTTTTTTTTTACGGCAACTGTGAGGAGTTCGCAGTCTTGCCGCACCGTCTCTCAGGTTTCCGTCAAACGGAGACCCCGGGCCCGGACATCAACAAACTCGACCTCTGCGACCCAAACCACCATAACCACGACCACCGTGACCCTGACCCCAGCCACAAACGGGGGTCATTTCCCAGTGTGGATGTCCGAGTTGTGCTGAGTGTTGAGCATTTTTGTCCCTCAACTCCTGAAGATGCCCGCCAAACAAGTTCTCCACATGTGGCCCAAAAACAGAAAACCCCACTTGGATTACATGCGGCTGTGAACACATACACGAGTTCAAGAGGGTCAGCTCCGTTTCATTACAGGGGCCGGACACAACACCTCACACACACACCAGGCTGGGATCAATGCTCATATGCACACTTGGTGGTCCATGCAAGGCTTCAAAAGGGCCAGGCCGAGCAGTGCTCATCAGAACGAGTCTGGCAGGACGTGGTGCGTTTTGCGGTGGCGGTTGAGGCCAGACGTCTGTGAGAATCTCTTGCCACACACCAGGCACGTGTACGGTTGCTCGCCCGTGTGCAAGCGCCGGTGTGAGGACAGCGTGCCGGGCTGGTTGAAGCGCTTATCACACAGGCCGCACGCATAGGGCCGCTCCCCCGTGTGCACGCGCACGTGGCGCACCAGGTCCGATTTTTTGCGGAACGCCTTCCCGCAGTGCCAGCACTGCCACCGCTCCGACTTCTCGGGGCTAGCGCCGATCGGGACGCCATGTTCTGCCAATCGGCGTCCCGCGGGAAAATCCGCTGGCAGCACCAGAGTCGAGGACAGGGCGCCATCCGGGGGAGGTGCGTAAAAAGCGGCTCCTCGCAGGATCTCTTGCTCGAGCTTCTCATCGCCGGCGTGCGACCCCGACCGCCCCCAGCCCAGCCCGTAGTCCACCTCCTCGCCATCGACGCGCTCCATCTTCACCACAACGCCGCCCCATGCGGCGGGACTGCCGATCCCTGGCTCCAACTGCGTGTTGCCATCCTGGGGCCCCAGCTCCTCCGCCGGGGGGTTGCTGGGGTCAGCGTCCTGTCGCTCCGATCGCTCTGTGGGAGGAGGGGACGAGGGGACGGGGGGCAGGGAGCAAATCTCGTCAAAAGCACCAAACCCTTTATAAACCTGAGACCTACCTGGGCCACAGATGCTATAGGTTTATGACCACTAGGAAGTGAGCTGGTTTCTGAACCAGGCTGGTGGGCTCAGCCTGGATTCCCACTGCAGTCTTACAGCACAAAATCATCACAAAGCAAGCTGCTAAGCATGCCTGTTGCTCCCTTTTCATATTGAGCCACATGCTTTCTCCCAGGTCAATGCCAGTGGCCATGGAAATGAAGCATGAGATGACCAACTCCAGTTTGATCGCTGAGCCAGCCCGGGTTCCAGTGTCATGTTGATGCCACTGCTAATACTACTGGCGCTGCTTCTCCCGATTTTGCCCGGCCACAGACGGAGTGCGCGTGGTGCAGGGGAGCCCGCGCACCCTCAGGGCTGATCCCAGCGCTGTCCCCAGGTCCCAGCGCCTGGTCGAGTCGGCTGAACCTGAGCGCAGACTGCAGCAGCTCCTGGCCCAGCGTCTGCAGCGTGGCCACGATGGCGTCGAGCAGCGCGGCCAGGCCGGGCTGCTCGGCGCCCTCGTGCGGCGGCCACCCAGCCCCTTGGCTCCCCGCGGCGCCCACGTCCGCCCCGGCCGCCTTGACGACGCGGCGCAGGGCGGCGTAGAGGGCGAAGGGCAGGCGCTGGCGCGCCGTGGCCAGCAGCTCCAGGGTGACCTGGGCGTCCTCGGCGCACGCCAGCAGATCCTCGTAGTCCCCGATCCCCAGCTCCCGCTCCATGGCCTGGGCGAACGGCAGCTTCATGCCCTGGGCCGAGAGCCACGCGGGGAAGTCCGCCCGCGGGTCCGGCCCCGCCGCCACCGGGATGGCCAAGGTCACCGGGATGGCCAAGGTCACCGCCATCGTCAACTGACGTCTGCGGGGACAGAGACGCTCGCTGCCTGGCACATAATTCACTTCCTGCTTCACGATGAGGAGGAAGAGCAGGAGGCAACAGCCTCAAGGGCAACAAGAAGCTGTGAGAAGCATGAGGAGCATGTCAGGAGGGTCAGGAAGTGTCAGGGTCATGAGAGGGGGCAGCGGGGTCAGGAGAGGGGGGACCAGGGAAAGGCGAGGGGGGAGTGGGTTGAAGGGAGGGGATAGCGGGGTTAGGAGGGGGCAGTGGGATCAGGGGAGAAGGGAGCAGGGTTAGGGGGAGCAGGGTCAGGCAGGGGGAAAGCAGAGTGCGGGGTCAGGGCAGGGGGGAGAGGGGTAAGGGCAGGGGACAGCGGGGTCAGGGCAGCGGGGAGCGGGGTCAGGGTAGGGGGAGCAGGGTTAGGGTAGGGGGGAGCGGGGTCAGGGTAGTGGGGAGCGGGGTCAGGGTAGTGGGGAGCAGAGTCAGGGTAGGGGGGAGCGGGGTCAGGGTTGTGGGGAGCGGGGTCAGGGTAGGGGGGAGCGGAGTCAGGGTAGTGGGGAGCAGGGTCAGGGTAGGGGGGAGCGGGGTCAGGGTAGTGGGGAGCGGGGTCAGGGTAGGGGGGAGCGGAGTCAGGGTAGTGGGGAGCGGGGTCAGGGTAGGGGGGAGCGGAGTCAGGGTAGTGGGGAGCGGGGTCAGGGTAGGGGGGAGCGGGGTCAGGGTAGTGGGGAGTGGGGTCAGGGTAGGGGGGAGCGGAGTCAGGGTAGTGGGGAGCGGGGTCAGGGTAGGGGGGAGCAGGGTCAGGGTAGTGGGGAGCGGGGTCAGGGTAGGGGGGAGCGGGGTCAGGGTAGTGGGGAGCGGGGTCAGGGTAGTGGGGAGCGGGGTCAGGGTAGGGGGGAGCGGGGTTTCAGTTTCATTTATTAGGTACTAGCGGGAAGTACCCGGCGTTGCCCAGGCGAAAGACACACACACACATCGACTTACACACACACAGACATCGACCCACACACAAACACATCGACTTACACACACGCAATAGACTTACACACATACATCGACTCACACACACATATACATAGACTCACACATACATCGACCTACACACACATATGGACTTACATACACAAACACATATCAACTAAGACACACATACATGGACTTACACATACACATGGACCCATGCACACACATCGACTTACACACAGACACATCGACTTACACACACATATGGACTTACGTGCACACACATCGACTCACACACACATATCGACTCACACACAGACATCAACTTACATACACACACAGACTCACACACATAAATCTCGACTAATACACACACATCGACTTACGCACACACACATCGACCTACACACATACATGGACTTACACACACATACATGGACTTACACACACACACGACTCACACACACACATCGACTTACACACAGACAAATCGACTTACACACACACAGCTCAAGAGCAGTTTTGAGTGCAGATCTCACAGGTAGTGATCCAAGTTGCAGTTTATTGGCGATAGCATTCCAGACCCTGGGGGCATCAACAGCAAAGGCCCTTCCTCCAGTATTTGTACGGCAATAAGGAATGTGAAGCTGGTAAATGAGCGAGGACCTTAGGTCACATTTGTTCTTTGAAACAGTGAGGAGATCCAGCACGTAGTCTGCTGATTTTTTTGAAAGTACATCGTGAATAAAGATCTGATGCACAAGCCGTCGATCATTAAGAGATGTTAAGTTTGACCCCATGTAGAGATCGTAGTGGTGGGTCCTATATGGGCAGTTCAATGCAAATCTTAAGGCCGAGTGATAAATTGGGTAAAGCTTCTTCAGTACAGTATTGGGGGCTGATTTATATACGATGTCACAGTAATCAAGTAGAGGAAGTATGGTAGCTAGTCCGCGGCCAGGTAAGATAAAATGTAAAAACAACGAGCCTACCCTTACCCTACCTTTCACCCTTACCCCATGCAATAAGATCCTGCGCCGCTCAGCCCAGTTAGACGGGACCTTCAGGCAGCCGGCCGCGATCCACGAGCGCAAGCACACGGACTGGATGAAGAGCGTCGACGACAGCGACTGGCGAACGCACGTGAACTCCCGCCCGGCTCCGCTATTCGCGCGTTCGCAGGGTGTTGACGTCGCTGGCGCTCCCAAGTAGTCGCAGGCCATCTTGTCGTGGACGGGGAGCAGCTCTTTGTGGGGAGACCACCACTGCATTACGTCAATGAAGGCGCTGGCGATCGTGACGCCCATGCTCAAAAAACGATCGACTTCATCGCCGTCATCGACGGAGCTGCCGACGTTGCTGAACAGGGTGCCGAACAGGGACCCCTCCTCCATATGGGCAGTGACTGCCGTCGGCGGGATCGTGAGCATGTCGGAGGAGCGATGCTGCAGGACAGAGCGGATCGTGGCCTTCAGTGTAGCCAGCTCGTCTTGGTCTGTCGTTTTCGGCAGCTGTGGATTCAAGTCGGATGCCACAATGGCGGGTTCCTGAACCAGGAAGTCGTGGTACTGCACCAGCTCGGACTTTATCCACATCGCGGTCAAGGACTCATGGAATGCTCTAAGAGCAGCTTCACCGCGATCGCAATGACGGATCAGGTGCTCCATCGTCACCAGCACGAGATACAATTACGACTTGCGGTCCGCCGACAACGAGGTCATGAACTGGCGCGGCATTCGCAGGAACGCTGTCACGCCCTCGATGTTTGCCCACTGCAGTTCAGAGAAAGCACCGACGCCGATCGCATCCTGGAAGCGCGCCATGATAATGTCCAATGGGACACACTTCTTGATGGCGTCGTCGCCCATGTCAAATGTCGAATTCCACCTGGCCGGCAAGCCCTGGTGCGTCGGCTCCTCGCTGGCGAGCTTGGTGATCTCGGCCTCGCGGCGGTACGACTGCCGGACGACCTTGCTGCGCCTGATATTGACGAGCACCTCGCGCAGTTCGGCGTTGGTCGGCTTGATCAGTTTGAGAACTTGGACAACGCCGATCTGGACGGAATGATCCGCGCAGCGAATATGGTGGCAAGCGCGTAACTGCTCATATCCGGCGTCCGCGTTGACCAGGGCGAACAACGTCTTGACAGCACTGATCGCATTGGAGCCATTGTCGCTGGTGACAGGGAGCAGCTTGGTCAAGACATTGTGCCCGAGGCTTAAACAGAGCGGTGCCAATGCGCTTGCCGACAACCCCTTCCGGACTGCACATCGAGGATCGTCAGCAGCATGGATTTCGACGCACCAGATTTGGTGTCGATCCAGTGCACCGTGACCATCCAAAATCCCTTCAGGTTGCGGTTCGACCACCCGTCGATGGTGAGCGAGATGACGACGTCCAGGTTGGAGAAGAACGCCCCGACGATGGGCAGCATGATGAAGCTCAACAATCCGGCGAATGACGGTGTGGGTCGACGGGCCCTCGCATCCCTGCGTCAATGTGTGGACCAAGGTCTTGAACTTGTCGCTGCCGGCGGCTCGCAAAGAGATTGCACCTTGGATAACAAAATCAACCACCGCGTTCTCAAACGTTACCAGGAGGCGATCCGTGATTGCTGGCCGGCTCAGCGTTTGCTGCATTGGGCGGCTCGCCAACGCCGACGTCCCGACCTCGCTGCCTGGGGCGAGCACGTTGTGCTTCTTGAGGTGGGCTTTCCACCCCGACGTGTTCGTGTGGGAGGAAAACCACTTGCATCAGTGCACGCACTGCCGCTTTCCTTGCTGCACACGGGGATCACCCTCCACCCAATCGTAGCGTGTGCTCCCACGGGAAAGCATGCCGCTGCCTCTTTCGATTGCTGTTCGCAGCGACCCCGGACATGCCGTTGCTGGCATCCTCGACCTCATCCTCTCTACCTCAAGAACGTGGTACCGTCTCCATCTGGTCCGACATCAATTATTCCAATTTCAAATGGAGGCCACGGACTGTGTCACAGAGCTATGAGCGAGCGGTAAACAAGGTATGGTACTGTATTTACCGGGTAATACTTCACGCTACCTTTACCCTACCGGGTAATTCTTCCACGCTACCTTTATCCTTCCCTTTACCTTACCCCCTGGCATGGTCGACACCTTTACCTTTACCCTTTTACCCGGTAAAAAGGGTAAGTTACCTTACCTTGCCGAGGCCTAATGGTAGCTTTTATCAATTCCAAACGGAACATAGGGAGGAAGCAATGCTTGTCTTTTTACCAATATAATCAATGTGATCTTGAAAATTCATATCGATTATATTGGTCAGGGTAGGTGGGAGCGGGGTCAGGGTAGGTGGGAGCGGGGTCAGGGTAGGGGGGAGCGGGGTCAGGGTAGGGGGGAGCAGAGTGCGGGGAGCGGGGTCAGGGTAAGGGAGTGCGGGGTCAGGGTAGGGGGAGCGGGGTCAGGGTAGAGGGAGCGGGGTCAGGGTAGGGGGAGCGGGGTCAGGGTAGGGGGGAGCGGGGTCAGGGTAGGGGGAGCGGGGTCAGATTAGGGGGGAGCGGGGTCAGATTATGGGGGAGCGGGGTCAGGGTAGGTGGGAGCGGGGTCAGGGTAAGGGGAGCGGGGTCAGGGTAGGGGGAGTGGGGTCAGGGTAGGGGGAGCGGGGTCAGGGTAGGGGGAGCGGGGTCAGGGTAGGGGGAGCGGGGTCAGGGTAGGTGGGAGCGGGGTCAGGGTAGGGGGAGCGGGGTCAGGGTAGGGGGAGCGGGGTCAGATTAGGGGGGAGCGGGGTCAGATTAGGGGGGAGCGGGGTCAGGGTAGGTGGGAGCGGGGTCAGGGTAGGGGGAGCGGGGTCAGGGTAGGGGGAGCGGGGAGTGGGGTCAGGGTAGGGGGAGCGGGGTCAGGGGGGAGCGGGGTCAGGGTAGGTGGGAGCGGGGTCAGGGTAGGGGGAACGGGGTCAGGGTAGGGGGAGCGGGGTCAGGGTAGCGGGGAGCGGGGAGTGGGGTCAGGGTAGGGGGAGCGGGGTCAGGGTAGGGGGGAGCGGGGTCAGGGTAGGGGGAGTGGGGTCAGGGGGGAGCGGGGTCAGGGTAGGGGGAGCGGGGTCAGGGTAGGGGGGAGCGGGGTCTGGGTAGGTGGGAGCGGGGTCAGGGGGAGCGGGGTCAGGGTAGATGGGAGCAGGGTCAGGGTAGGGGGAGCGGGGAGTAGGGTCAGGGTAGGGGGGAGCGGGGTCAGGGTAGGGGGAGCGGGGTCAGGGGGGAGCGGGGTCAGGGTAGGGGGGAGCGGGGTCAGGGTAGGGGGAACGGGGTCAGGGTAGGGGGAGCGGGGTCAGGGTAGCGGGGAGCGGGGAGTGGGGTCAGGGTAGGGGGAGCGGGGTCAGGGGAGGGGGGAGCGGGGTCAGGGTAGGGGGGTCAGGGGGGAGCGGGGTCAGGGTAGGGGGAGCGGGGTCAGGGTAGGGGGGAGCGGGGTCTGGGTAGGTGGGAGCGGGGTCAGGGGGGAGCGGGGTCAGGGTAGATGGGAGCGGGGTCAGGGTAGGTGGGAGCGGAGTCAGGGTAGGGGGGAGCGGGGTCAGGGTAGCGGGGAGCGGGGTCAGGGGGGAGCGGGGTCAGGGTAGGTGGGAGCGGGGTCAGGGTAGGTGGGAGCGGGGTCAGGGTAGGGGGAGCGGGGTCAGGGTAGGTGGGAGCGGGGTCAGGGTAGGTGGGAGCGGGGTCAGGGGGGAGCGGGGTCAGGGTAGGTGGGAGCGAGGGGGGGGGTATGTGGGAGAGGGGTCAGGGTAGGGGGAGCGAGGGGGGGGGGTTGTGAGCGAGTGGCGGCGACCTTACCCGCTCGAAGAATCTCAGCTTCACAACCGCCGCGCCGAACTCCGCGTTTCGATTTCGATTTGTATGTTCTAAGTTTTTCGATTGTCTGGATCGATTCCTCGCTCCGCGTGGTTAAAGACTGGGAGGGTTGCGGTGGGAGGAATCGATTTAAAATGAAGCCGAGTGAATCGCGTGCGCGGCGATTCACACTACGGTGGCCAGGCCGCGTCAAAACGCGATTCGGCGTAACCCCCCCCAAACGACCCCAGTTTGAGCAATCATTGGAAGGATGTATTAAACCACGTCAAGTTTTAACTGCTATGATTTTCACTCACCCACCCGGTTGTTGTCGTCGTCCGATTACGACTTGTACGACAAGTCAATTTACTTGCTAATTTCTCTCGCCCCACCCGTCCATGCACGCCACAAACCCTCTCCCTGTGAACTCCCACAGCTAAACTCCCCCCCCCCCATCCCCTCCCCTCCCGTGCCTATATAAAGCCACAACAGCAGATCATTTTTTAACACCTGAAGACGGACGCTTGTGTTGCGACCAAAACGGCGTGTTTTATTTTATTTTATATTTTTTCTATCTACGCGACTTCACCGAAAGAACCAGAGCATGGATTACCTGCAGTCACGAAAGCTTCAAATCAAGATTGTGTTACCTAAGCCTCATTTGCATATGCTAATGAGCGAGGAGTACGCATCATATGCACGGGGTTCGTGCTCGGGGAGCTCCGCGTCGGTGGCTGCCGTGGAGCGGCGCTCATTTCCACTCATGGCCCTGAGCAAGTGGAGGGAAATTCCACACTGCCATGACGGGACCAGGGCGGTTGAGGGCGAGCAGTGTTGGAGGAGCACAGCGACAACCAATGGAAATTCACGAGTTTACCGCGTGCATGGCACGATACGCATTACTCGATGCAGTGTGGTGTGCGGTAAAGGGTTGACTCTTGCTCATTAAATAACAAGGCGACTTGAAGGACGTTCCTCTTTATTCTCAAATGGGTCGCACCGTCCCGTGGGCGACTTTCGCTTGGAATCTTCACCCTGTGACGTGATGCACAATATAATAAATTGTATAAACGCCCATTACCATTGGCTGAAAACATCTTCATGAATAGAGGACTGCAAAAGCTTGGGCAATGTAATGCGACGGCAAGCCGCCTGGCTGCCTTCCCACTTTCACTGTGGATCTTCAGCGACGGCGAGGCGCAGTTTCCATTTACTTAAAAAACTAAAGTATTGGGAGGAAAGACCAAATAATGATTTGAGACCGACAAGAATGGGCAAAAAAACAAGACGGCAAAAAGCACTGTCGATAATTTTCTTTACTAACTTTTGACTCTTGTTCAAAATTGTAAATCAAAACGTTTCAACGGTTTAAAGCGCGTGTGAATGAGACCTGAACCCATCACTTGGAGCCACTCTGCCCGTCCAAAAAGCCGACGAAAATAAAATGTAAAACAAAAACCCCCAGCAAAAAACACCCAAGGCACAATTTAAATAGCCATAACAACTCGTTGGTTTTTTCGGTAAAGTCACGTATGTAGGAATACCATCAAATTATATGAAAACAAATCAATCACGACGTTTCGACCGCAACACAAGCGATCTTCATCAGGTATAAAAAAAAAATCACGGAGGTAAATACAACAAGAAGATGAGAGACGAGAATTCAACAAACCCAAGAAAAAATACGTGATGCACAACCAGTCAGGTCAACAACACAGTTAGACACTTACCTGGCAGACCACGAATTTCAGAAGAGTGCTAAATTTCGTGTTCATCCTCTCGATTAAACTTACCAGCATAGACAGAGTGAACAAATACGAGGTACAAGTCAGAAATACATATACAGAGACACCAAGAGGCAAGGACGGACAGAGAAGAGAGGAAAAGGGAGTTGGATGAACAGAAGCCTTAAATAAGAAGTGAAGGTGGGGTGAGGGGCCAGAGAGAAAGGGCACAGCAGCAGAAGCGGGGGGAGGAGCAGGAGGAAGCACAGGCTGCAACGCAGCAGAGGCGGGGGAGGAGGGCAGGAGCAAGTAAGGGGCACACCACGTTTAGGACAGAATTGGTAACTTCCCCGTAGAAGTGTGTTAATAGAGAATTAAAGCTTTCGTGACTCTATGCTGGTAAGTTCAATCGAGAGGTTGAACATGAAATTTAACACTTTTCTGAAATTCGTGGTCCGCCAGGTGTCTGTGTTGTTGACCTGACTGGTTGTGCATCACATTTTTTCTTGGGTTTGTTTAATTCTCGTCTCTCTTCTACTTGTTGTATTTACCTCCGTGATTTGTTTTTCTTTTACACCTGATGCAGATCGCTTGTGTTGCGGTCAAAACGTCGTGATTGATCTGTTTTAATATAATTGTACGGTATTCCTACATACGTGACTTTACCGAAAAAACCAATGAGTAATTTATGCAGTCACGAAAGATTTAATTCTTTATTAGCCATAACAAGTTAAATGTATTAAATTACACCAGCAGTGCCCAATCAATTTGACAGTAATTGTTCCTGTCTTCGCTGTTTTGCTGCAGTCTCTAAATTCCTGTAAAACTGAGGCTCCCAAACTCCGACCGAGCACCTGCAGTGACCCCTACAACCACAATTCATGACTCCATGACCTCCACTCCTAACCGCCGTGACCAGGGAGCTTAGAACTGAGCCAAGCTCACGGCCCACACGGACACCAGTCCGTTCACGCGAGGCCGCACACAATGGGAAGACCGTGTGAGCTTCGTCAGAGAGAGTCTTGCGGGACGGTGTGACCCGTCGAGTCAGGTGGACCGCTGGGGCCTATGAGAGAGTCATTCAGCCCCGCAGGGCCTGTAAAAGAATCGTGCAGACCCGTGGGGTCCATCAGAGGGTCATGCAGGCCCATGGGGCCTGTCAGCGAGACAGGCAGGCTGGTTGGGCCACGTGCAACGTCCAGGGCGTGCTGCGTCTTTTGGTGGCGGTGCAGGCCGGATGCCTGTGAGAATCGTTTGCCGCACACCAGGCAGCCGTAGGGCTGCTCACCAGTGTGCACACGGCGGTGCGTGGAGAGGGGCCCCGGTTGGTTGAAGCGCTTGCCGCAGATGCCGCACACGTAGGGCCTCTCGCCCGTGTGCACACGGACGTGCCGCACCAGGTCGGCGTTGCTGCGGAAGGCCTTCCCGCAGTGTCGGCACCGCAATCGCGCCAGCTTCTCCGGGTTCGGGACGCCTGGGGCACCGCGTGGTGTCGAATGGAGACCTGCGGGGGGCACGGGGCCCAGCGGGGGTGGCATAACGGGCGGCGTGGTGCCATCTGGAGGTACTGCCATCCACAACGACGTGTCACCGCCGCCACCGGCCACGTATGGCCACGCGCAGACACTGTTCCCGTTGAGGCTGAGCGGAGAACGCTTGTGCTGCTGTTGCTGCTGCAGGCCGTGTGTCTGAAACGGCAGCGGTGCCACCTCCATGGCCCTCTGCTTCCGCACGGCACCTGGGGGTGCAAGAGCCAGGCCGTGATCACTCACATCACACGCAGTCAGCTCAAACTCATGGATGCCCACGCGACAGCTTCACATCGAAGACAGGTACGTGGTGGGGGAAACCTGAGTTGCAGTTTGACCAGCTTAAGGTCTTGGCCAGTCATCTTTTATATGCCCATTACTCGTATAACTTGCAGCATTGTCTGAATATAATATAAAGCAAAGTGGATGCTTAAGCATCAAACTGGATGCTCACCACTGCTCACCTGGGTACTGCGACTGGTATGCAGAGCTTGGCGGCTCCTCCCTCCAGCTTCCTTGGTCCTCTCCTTTGAGTTCTTCCGCTCCTCTAACTCCCTCCTCCAGCAGAGCCTCCCCCAGGGCCTCATCCGCCAGAGACCCTGTTTCCTCTAGCTCTGCAGGGCCACACAGACAGACTCAATCCACTGCTGCGCTGGCACCTCCTGGCCACATGGCTACGACAGCTTCGCAACGTCCATTATAGTAGTGGCGTCTGTGAGCAGGAGTGAAGAACGCCTCTGCGCAGACCTTCTGACCACGCTGCTTCTCACTGCCAGTGTGTGACCCCAGCCCAGCCTGTATTCCACTCCTCACCGTCTGGGCGCTCCTTCTTCACCACGATGCCGCCCCACGTGGCGGGGCTGCCGGGCCCTGGCTCCAGCTGCGCGTCGCCACCCAGGGGCCCCGGCTCCTCCGCCAAGGGATCGCTGAGGTCGGCCTCGTGCCGCTCCATTCTCTCTGCGGGAGAAGGGAACGGAGAGGGCAGGAAACAAAACTCATCATGGCCAACCCCTCTGTCAAGCCAAACCTAGGGTAAAGGGATGGCCAGTGCTGGGTTCCATGTCTGGGAGCAAGCCTGGATTCCAGAGGATGTTGGATTTGGTCTAGAACCCATACATGACCAGCACCCAGAAGCAGGGCAAACAACCACATCTAGCACAAGCAGCCACAGCTCTGAAATTCAATGACCTTACAAACTGGCCCTTGAGTCCCTGACAGAGCTGAATGTTGTGATGTTGCTGCGACGACTGGTGACGCGGATACTGCTGCTGCTGCTGTTACAACTACTGCTGGTGCTGCCGGGCCACAGGCGGAGTGCACGTGGTACGCAGGACCCCGCGCACCATCAGGGCTGATCCCAGCGCTGTCCCCGGGTCCCAGCGCCTGGTCGAGTCGGCTGAACCTGAGCGCAGACTGCAGCAGCTCCTGGCCCAGCGTCTGCAGCGTGGCCACGATGGCGTCGAGCAGCGCGGCCAGGCCGGGCTGCTCGGCGCCCTCGTGCGGCAGCCACTCGGGCCCCCGGGGCCCCTGGCTGCCCCCGGCCGCCTTGACGACGCGGCGCAGGGCGGCGTAGAGGGCGAAGGGCAGGCGCTGGCGCGCCGTGGCCAGCAGCTCCAGGGTGACCTGGGCGTCCTCGGCGCACGCCAGCAGATCCTCGTAGTCCCCGATCCCCAGCTCCCGCTCCATGGCCTGGGCGAACGGCAGCTTCATGCCCTGGGCCGAGAGCCACGCGGGGAAGTCCGCCCGCGGGTCCGGCCCAGCCGCCACGGCCACCGAAGCCATCGGCGACGGAAATCAAGAGACCTGTGGGGGACATAGGCCAGTGTATCTTTGTGTGTCTCCGTGTTAGTGTGTGTGTGTGTAGCTGTGTCTCTGTGTGTAGCTGTGTATCTGTGCGTGACTGTGTGTAGCTGTGTTACTGTAACTGTGTCTCTGTGCGTGTCTGTGTATATGTAGCTGTGTATCTGCGCGTCTCTGTGTGTGCAGCTGTGTCTCTGTGCGTGTCTGTGTCTAGCTGTGTCTCTGCGTGTCAAGTTGTCTCGGTGCGTCTGTGTAGCTGTGTCTCTGCGTGTCTGCGTCTGTGTGTAGCTGTGTCCGTGTGTCTGTGTCCCCTGTGTATTACGTATGCGAGTTGAGGGGGCCGTGGGTGGCGATTTAATCACCCGGGAAACGGAGGCCGTCGTGGCCTTTCGATACCCAGCAAAGGGCGACTCCCAAAGCGGCTGCCGCGAGCAGGCGACACCGAGGCTGCGCCGGGGCCTAGCGGCCGCCTACCCCCCCAACCCCATCCCCCCCCCCAAACCCCACCCCCAGAGGTCCCCCTCCGCCCTGGGGTCCCGTCCCCGGGGGTCCCCGGGGGTCCCCGCGGGTCCCTCACCTGGGGTATTGGCGGTGACCGGCCACGGCCGACGGGAACCCGCGGTGGCGGCTGTGGTGACCGACCGTGGTGACCGGGGGTGTTCTGTGCCCCGTGGGGGAGGACAACGGAAGTGGCGCCCCCATGCGGGGGCGGCAACGGAGCACCTCGTGGGAGAACTTCAGTTGTTGGTCCCCCAAAACCCCCACTTTGAGCCCCAGGTGAGGGCCCCCCACAATTGGGATTCAGTGCCTGTTGCCACCCCAGGTGAGAGCCCCCTACAATTGAATCCAGTACCTGTTGCTACCCCAGGTGAGGGCCCCCCACAATTGTATTCAGTCTGTTGCTACCCCAGGTGAGGGCCCCCCACAATTGTATTCAGTCTGTTGCTACCCCAGGTGAGGGCCCCCCACAATTGTATTCAGTGTATGTTGCTACCGCAGGTGAGGGGCCCCCCACAATTGGGATTCAGTGTCTGTTGCTACCCCAGGTGAGGGCCCCCCACAATTGGGATTCAGTGTCTGTTGCTACCTCAGGTGAGGGGCCTTCCACAATTGTATTCAGTGTCTGTTGCTACCCCAGGTGAGGGCCCCCCACAATTGGGATTCAGTGTCTGTTGCTACCTCAGGTGAGGGGCCTTCCACAATTCTAGATTTGAAGCTTTCGTGACTGCTAGGATCCATACTCTTTGGTTCTATTGGGTAAAGTCACGTAGGTGAAAATAAAATAACAAAAAATCACGACGTTTCGGCCACAACACAAGCGGCCTTCATCAGGTGAAGGGACGAGCCTGTCTGGAGAACAGCGCTGGAGTGGAAGAAGCCACGCTTAGATCACGACCTTTAAGCTGTGTGAGAAGATAAAGAAGACCAAGCGCCTTGACAAAGGAATTAGCATATAATTTAGCATTGAAATGGCTCATTGAAATAGCTAAGTTAAGTATACACATCGGCAGAGGTACCCTTGACAAAGGAATTAGCATCGAATTTAGCATTGAAATAGCTGAGTGATTAGCTAGTAACTGGTCACAGAAATAGCTATGTTAAAGTTAGAGTATATACATTCACCGAGGCACCTAGTACTCATCAAACAGGAGAATTTAGCGAAACACAACCACGCTCAGACATCGGACCTGTGTGCGAGCAAACAAGGTGTTCTGACAGAACAGCAAACAAGGTGTTCTGACAGAACACCTTGTTTGAACACCTTGATGCTAATTCCTTTGTCAAGGGTACCTCTGCGGATGTGTATACTTTAACTTAGCTATTTCAATGAGCCATTTCAATGCTAAATTATATGCTAATTCCTTTGTCAAGGCGCTTGGTCTTCTTTATCTTCTCACACAGCTTAAAGGTCGTGATCTAAGCGTGGCTTCTTCCACTCCAGCGCTGTCCTCCAGACAGGCTCATCCCTTCACCTGATGAAGGCCGCTTGTGTTGTGGCCGAAACGTCGTGATTTTTTGTTATTTTATTTTCACCTACGTGACTTTACCCAATAGAACCAAAGAGTATGGGCCTTCCACAATTGGTATTTGCCACATTCAAGAGTGCAGTTGAACAATGGGCGTTTCCGTAGGGCATCATACGTATTCTGCATGTTTCAATTAACTTTACTGCTGCGTATGCATACACACATGATCTAATTGTGAAGACCGCGTTCACCGAAAACTTTTTTTATTTTACCAGGTAAGGATCGCTGAGCTATAAAGCTCTTTTTCAGAAGCGTACCTGGCCATCACAAATAATAGTTCAACTTCGTGGCTTAATATCCTAAACACGTGATGTTGATTCTAAATGGATGGAGGGGAAAACCGGAGGACCCGGAGAGAAATCCACGTAACCACGAGAGAGAACATGTAAACTCCAAATATACAGGCAGGCGTCAGGGTCGGGATGCAACTTACAACCTCCTGCATACCAGGCGATGGGAGATCTCGCCCCAACCACAGACCAATAAACCGTCGAGCCCAAGTAAGATGTAGAGCCTAATTACAATAAAACTCAACCCACATCCATCAACATTCTCTGGCCTATATGTATGTGTGTTATGGATAAGGCCCATTGCCCAGAACGTTGCATAATTATATACCTTTCATTTGACGAATGTGTTCAGTTTTTATGTATGCTTGCACGCCACTGCCATGACACTGGCACACAATGGCTTGCCTCTGTAAATGAAGATACACCATTCTAACGACCACAAAACGGATATGCTTTATTTAAACCACATAAGAGCTCCGTGAAATATATTTTGCAAGGGCAGGCTGTGCACAACCAGTGCAGATGCATGACATGTGCAAACGGTCGGCTAGACTATGCAACACCACCAGACCATCGCCTCCAGTACCTTAATGTGAACAGCTCCCGCAGCACACAATCTCTGCCAACAAAGAGCATCTCCAGACCCTGTAGCACCATCTCCACCAACGGAGTCCTCAAGTGTCGAGTTTAACGAGCCTTTGCGATCTCGTAATGTGCCTGCGAAGGCGGGCGGTAGCGTCGCTCTGCGTACGGCGGCGTCTTCAGCAGGGCCGTGGACCATCGCACGTGGCCCCCCCGTCAGCAGCTGGCCACGTGCTTGCGCTGGTGGCGCGTGAGGTGGTGCTTGACGCGGAAGGCCAGGCCGCAGGAGGAGCAGGTGTTGGGCTTCTCGCCCAAGTGAGATGAGCTTGTAGGCCCGGGAGAAAGCCTTACCGCACTCCTCGCACCTGCAGTACCACGCACGCCAGCAAAGACAAGGTGGACGTCTCTACGTGTGGCGCAGACAGGTGCTGTCAGTGAGGGCCTCTCAAGGCCAAGCCACGATACGAAGGGACAGTGAGATCGGGATTGCACAGGAATTGAATTCAAATTGCTGGGTTAATTGCACAGTGCACTAAGCACTGCAACACCCCAAAGTCGCTGTAATAACAGATGAACTACAAGGTGATTCTATTTAAAAAGTTTCTTTGAAAGAAAACAGTTAATGTAGTTTCCTCAAATGGAGGTAGGAGTCACAAAAAACCATTATAATGCATTACATTTTAAAATAATAATTTACATGTTATTTGACGCACATCAAAATATTAAGAACCAACATGAATTGACATTACTCAATATATTTTTTTAATGCAAGCAAGGACAGGAGATGTGGGACTGGTGTATCGGTGGGAAGAGGTTTGGGGCATCACCTGTGCCTCTTCTCGCCCATGTGCGTACACCGGTGCACCGCCAGCCAACCAGAGTACCGTCTTCTGGTGGATGCCCCAGAAGACGCGGCTCGGCCAGCCGGCGTGAACCCTGCTGAGGAGGCATGGGAGTGGAGAGGTAAAGACAGGTGAGTGATGGTAAACCGGCAGTGTGACTCACAACTCAAGGCAATTGCCTTTTACCATAATCCTATACGACCAGGACAACCGAGCCATGCGATTAAAACGTAACATTGGGCTCTCACCATCTGCCACGATGCCGCAGGCCTCACGTTGTCGCTGGATGGGCTGTGGCGAGGAAGCCGAGGCCACACGGGTGCGGGGGGGCCCAACGGTCACATGCGGCCGTCGATGCTGCGCCAGGTCCCACGCTCGACCAAAGCTCTTCCCGCACGGAAGATACGCACACGTGGGCCCGCCGGTGCGCGCTCAGCTCCAGGCCACATGCGAGCACCCGGCCGCGGTCCTCGCGCACGAAGGGCCGCCTTTCTGAACGCGCACGAGGACCGCGATGCGGCGACGGCAGCGGAGCGGCCCGTCACCCGCGGCGTCGCTCCGGAGCCGCGCACTTCCCGAACCGCCGGTCGCGCCCACGGGGCCGCTCGGCCGCCCGCGTCGAGCGCCGGTGCTGGTTGAGCGCCGACGACTGCGCGAACGTCTTGCCGCACTGCGCGCACGCGTGGGTCCGCTCGCCCGTGTGCGCGCGCCCTGGCCTGCGCTGGTCATTGCGGCGCCAGAGTGCCTTGCCGCACTCGGCGCACGGGCGGCGTCGGACGCGCTGCCGCCGCCCCTCGTACCCCGGGGGTTGCGCCTCGCCGGGGCTCCAGGCGAGGGGGGAGACGGCACCACCTCCTCCTCTGCGGTCACACGCCGCTGCGGGTGCTCAGCGCTGCCAGGCCCCGCCACTTGTGTCCCCCGTCAATCACCATGCACCTGCGGGGCAATGGAACTTCACTATTCAAGTGTATTGTTTCAGCGGACAAAACCTCAAGAGACAAGGATAGGCGCATTTTCGAGAGTGACCTGGGAATTCAGTCTACACCACATTTGCAGTGACTGTATCACAACGCCCTTGGCTCGCACGAACTCACCTATAGGCACAACTCACCACGAAACAGTGGCACAATGGCATCGAGTGACAGCACGCTGAATGGATATTGTACATGCACGGCTCGTGTTACCAATGTGATAAATTGTCCTGCAGCTCAATGACCGATCCTTCTTCAATATTTGTGGGGAACACGATGACAAAGCAGTTGGCGTACTGCACTATGGACCCGAATATCGAGGTTTGATCTCTAGCCACGGCTATCATCAATCAGTTTGATCTGAACCTGCCCAAACCACTGCACCTCCACCCCCCACCGCTTCACAAACCTGCACTGACCAGTGAGTTGAAGTATGGTCAAACAACCCCCATTGACAACACGGCTTTAATCCAGCAGTGGATTGGTAAATTGTAATAATTTATGCACATGTATAACGATAAACATTAACACACATGCCTACACACCAACATATATAAAAGCATATACAGTACACGCTTGCAACCCCGTGTGCACACATGCATATAGATTATATTTTACACATGCACATACGGTATTCACAGATATGCACTCACGTGCATGAACACACGCAGCCAAACGCTTGAAATAACATGCCCGCATGTGCACACGTGCATGTACAATGTACTGTATATACACGTGCATGCATACAATGTAATAGGTATGTACACACACGTGCATGTGCACTGTACTGTATATACACGTGCACGCATCCGAGCAATGTCTAGACACACGTGAATGTACACGCACTGCACTGTATATACACACACGTACGTGTACACGCGCTGTACTGTATACATACGTCACTATACACAATGTATACAGTACACGTGTATGTACACAATGTACCGTGTATGCACAAAGACAAAGAACCCCCCCCCCCCGTGTAGCCTTTAACAGACTTGCGGGGCGAGGGCCGTCAGCGAGTATTGGCGCCTACGAAGGCCGGCACGGTGGCACACATAGTTAATAGTTTAATTAATTTGGTATAGCCCTGTGAGGCATTCGGTTCTTGAATCGGGTGCAACCGCAACAAACAAAAAAACACGAACAACAAAAAAAACATCTTAAAGTGACTGTATGTGACTGTGCAAACAGAAAATCCAGGAAAAAAAAACCCATCAAAATATTGCTGAAATAGCACCGTACACCAACGCTGTGTGCAAAAACGAGGGTTTCGGGTGGCCAAAAACTACGCCCGGCCGCCTCCGTCTACCCCAGCAGGTACAACAACAACAAAAACAAAAACCCCAACACGTGCCACCGCACGCACGCGCGCCACGCGCCGCGCGGCTTCTCCCGTGGGAGGGGCCTGGCCGATGCCCCACGAATCCAGCCAATCGCAGGGCGAGCCGGGCCGGGCCACGTGCGCCGCTACAACAGAGCGTCGATACAAAACGGCGCCAACCCCCCCCCCCCACCGCGTAGCGACGCAGACTCGCATCGGAATATTTCTTTAAATTACTGCAGCGAATCCGATGAGATACGAAGTTCTTTTTTGTTTTGTTTGCACAGATGTCCCAGTGAAAGGATCGGAGAGGGTGGAGGGGCGCACGGGGGTTCAGAACGTAAGCACAACGTTACAGCAATAACAACAGCAAAAAAAAATCGAGCACACGCAATTAAAAAGATCGCACCCTCTTCTGATTGTGCCCAGAAAGCTCGCGCGCCCTTTCGTTGACAAATGTTTCCAATCTCGGATGCTTCTTCTCGCTACTGCTGCTGCTCCTGCTGCTGCTGCGTCTCCCGCTCGATCCGATTCGATTTGCGAAGCGCGCCTGCGATCGGGGGTCAGGGGTCGGTCGGGCCCTCCACAACCCCCCCAACCCCCCCAACCCTCCCCCACCCATCATACGTAGGTGGTGGGAGAGGGTTGTAAAGAGTCTGCGGCCGCCATGTTTGTAGGGGGAGTGGGGGGGAGAGACTCCCTCGCTCAGTGCGACGGGTGACGTCAACCGACCGTGACGCGACCCCCCCACCCCCCCGGGCGGTGACGCCATGCGCACGGGGCCGCCGCCCTTCCCTGCCCAAGATGGCCGTGGAGCGTCTCGAGCAGCGACGCCGCGGCCCCCTCCTTCCGTAGCCGCAGTGCCCCGATTAGCCGCGCCGAGACTCCCGCTCCTCGCAGGGGCCACCACCTCCACCACCAACCCCTCCCTCCCTCCCCGGACCCCGAAGCCCCTGGGCAACGCACGGAGCTCGGGACCCCCACTCGGCATCAAGGTAGCGGAGCCTGCTGCGAGCCAGGTGAAGCGGCGGCGCGGGCGGACGAGGGGGGTAGGCCGAGAGGCCTCGCGTTGCCTTGGTCCCCGCCCCAGTCAGTGCGGGGCCGAGCGGCGCGATTGAAAGCCCCAGCCGCTTTAGGGGGGTTCGGTGTCGGCAGTCCCAGTCTTAGGGGTCTCGGTGTAGGGGGGTTAAGCGTTGGGGTTCCGAGTGCAGGGGGTTCTGACCGGTGGCCCCAGCCTAGCGGTGCATTGCCTGCCCTAGGTAGGGGGTTTGGCGTACGGGTTTCGGGGTCGCTGCTCCGGTCAAGCGGTTCGCTCCAGGGAGTTTTGCTGTCGGCAGTCCCAGTTCTGGGGGATAGTTTTAACGTTTATCTTGAGGGTTTGCAGTGTGTCGGGGATTCATTCATTCTTGGGATTGAGCTTTTTTGGCGGTTCGGACGTAAGGATCGAGTCATGTTTATTTCGTTTAAGCAGGCGAGAACTATAATAAGACTGCCAAGGATAGTATCACTTGCGAAAACAATGACGTTAAAAACAATCACAGCGATGAAGCGGATAGCAATCGACTCGGATACAAACCGCGTTACGGAACAACCCCCAAGGGCACAGCGGGGACGTTAAAGACCTCTCGTGTCCGCAGGGTTCAGTGGAAGAACGAAAGAGACACTCCGAGCCTCAAGTCAACGTCAGTGGAATAATACAGAGCGCTTCAAAAAAATGTTAACACTTACATGGGACTATCACTTTTAATGTAATAATAACGAATGATACACTGTAACATGATAACAAATGTATGTCTCCACTTGTTCGCCATCATTGTCGATACACGCCTGGAATCTTCTCCAGGAACATTTTTTGTGGAATTGTTGCAAATTCTCAGAAGTGTTTACTAACGTAGCATATAATCACAATAACACACATTGCAACTAATTACTAATCTGCAACTCATTACTAATCATAACCATTGACTGATTACTAATCGATCATATCATTACTGCACCTGAATGAGTTAAATGATGACGTCACCCTGCTGCTCTATTTGAGAGGGCTTTACCATTCTGGCGAATTGCCTGATGATGCTGGATGTAATTACCAGGGAAACGTCGTACTCAAACTGTAAATGTTGTGGATTCACTCTTCAACACAACGGTGGGCTAAAGCAGTGAACTAATTGTCTTTTGTCAACGTGACACTTTTTTGCTGATTGGCCGTGTCGGGTGGTGGAGGGTTACGACACATTTATAAATAACGCGATCTAACCCAAAAACCTTTATTATGAATAATATTGGTCGCGAAAGCCTACGTGTTAAACTACCCTGTATAACGGCTGGGAGGGGGGGGGGAAATCCTGTAGCCCTGTCAGACGAGGTTTACAGAACTGTTTTTGCGTCTTAATTTCCAGAACGTCTTATTGTCCGGAGATTTCGGTTCCGAGCCCACGTAACGTAATTGGTAGGTGTACAGGCGAGAGCGCTCATGCCTACCTCACATTACCGAAGTTAATGATAGATTGTGACGGGTCTCACGAGGTCTTGTATTCATTGCCGCACGTTAAGCTTTTGGGTTATTGAGTAATTCGCGCCGTGGTCTCGAAACTCAAAAAATGGATTTACAGCGGGATGTAACGCAACTCTGCCTTAAAGTGCTTTTGTGAAGAGCCATTGCTGGAAACGTTGTCTTTTACTGCACATTTTTATTTTAAGGCCACAGTGTTATTGTTGAGTTGTTTTTCTTATTTGTGCTTGTGTAATGTTTCAATGAATACCGTGCAGTCTACCATACTAATCTGTGGGCTATGCATTAACTGGAGCCTTACATTGTAACTGCAATGTTAAATATTGACGAAAAGCAGTTACAGAAGTCACCTCACGGGCTCCAGGGACCAGCTTAGCACTCCATTGTATATTGTCATGCAAACTCGTGGTGCAGAATTGTTACACACATTATTAACATAATTTACAGCTTCTCCAGAACACGATAGTTTCAGAGTCACAATGTTTATTTAGGCTGCAGGAGGAATCCGATGAGCTACGAAGCTCTTCTTCACAGATGTCCACGATTGATAGTGTGGCACTGACAACTTTTATGTTGACTCAAGTGGCACACTCTTTCCAAGAGGTTCTCTAAAATGTAACGTTTATATTTACACGCTTTTTATTAACTCACTGTCTGTTGTATCCTCAAATCTTGTGTAACTAAAATTTTACCCACTTCCCAATGTGCTATCGACTGTAAACTTGGTATACTTATGTCATACTGATGACAATACTATATTCTGTCATTAAAAATAAAATATATATTTTTTTTTAACATTTTTGTTATACGTTATGTTTCGGCTTGGGTCTAATTGTCCACACTCAACTGACGTTGGCTGTAATTCACCACGGTCTCTTACGTTATGGCAAGCTTCGGGGCCACTTCCTGGAGTCGTGGAGTTCTTCCATTACTAGTACGGTACATTTCAATAAACCGTGTTTTTAAAAAAAGTTTTTTTTAATATTACTTATTTCTGAACCCTGAGATTTTTCTTTTGGGACCAGCAACGTGGAAAAGATCCGGGTTTAAAAACTTTCGTCGTTGAGATTCCAAACAGAAAAATGTGAAAATGTTTGCCTTGCCCCCACAAGTTTTGTGAGTCCAAAATTTAACGTTTAGTTTTAGTTTTTTCCTAGTTATGAGCATAAACTTGACGATATGTGTGCCAAAGTACACCAGTTCTCTTATCTCTTCATTTGTTATCGGTCAGCTTCTGAGTGGATTTTAAGATACTGCCATTGACCTATAAGGCTTTAAAAGGGCTCACCCCACATTACCTGCAGGAACTAATGCATGTATATATTCCATCAAGGTCCTTAAGATCTTCTGATCTCCAACTGCTCAACACTCCCAGATCTCGGTTGCGGTCTTTTGGTGATCGGTGCTTTTGTTAGCGTGGCACCGAAGCTATGGAGCATCTTGCCACTTCAGATCAGGCGGTCGGAGTCGGTAGATATATTTTAAGTCTGCTTTGAAAACCCATCTCTTTAAAGTGGCCCATCTCTCTTTAGTTTGGTCGGTTGCCCCTGGCTCTGATTTTGTTCCGTATTTTTTTATGCATTGGACATTAGGATCCTAGGATGGAATGCGCATTATCGATTTGCATTATTATCCTTTTAACCTGTAGATTACAGTGATGATTACCTTTTTCAGAACATGAGAATGTAAGTCCCTCACTCCATCAGGCACTCACAATCGGTGCTTCATGTGTCACACCATGTACAACCGTTTGCACGTGTGTATGTCGCGCTGTATATTGGCAATTAATAATGGAAATGTTCCTGTAAGACAATTTCAGATAGGCTTGGAGTGATTTGAATTATCTTACATTGGTATGTATTGTTGAATCTGCTACGTTTTTAATTGTGTTCTTGTCTGCGATATTTCCATTTCCCCTCCGCCCCCCTCCTCGAGGCAGCGGGAATGGCGGCGGCGGCGGTGGCTATGCCGGGCGGCGGTGTGGCGTTGTTGGGGCCGGACCCGCGGGCGGACTTCCCCGCGTGGCTGGCAGCCCAGGGCATGAAGCTGCCGTTCGCCCAGGCCATGGAGCGGGAGCTGGGGATCGGGGACTACGAGGATCTGCTGGCGTGCGCCGAGCCCCCGCTCGTGCGGGCCGAGCTTTTCTCGGCGGCGCGCCAGCGCCTGCCCTTCGCCTTCTACGCCGTGCTGCGCCGCACGCTCGAGGCGCTGGCGCCACACGCCGTGTCCCGGCACCACGACCCCACGGTGTACGCGTCTGCCGAGACGCCAACGGGGCGCCAGCAGCAGCAACAGCATCCATCGCTGGGCGGCCTCCTCGACGTGATGGTGGCGCAACTCACGAGCCTGAGCCGTGAGCTGGCGCTCTTCGCCGCGCGCCTCAGCTCCCTGGACCCGGCCGTCGGGCACCAGGCCGGGCTGCTGGCGGAACACGACGAGCCCAGCCCCTTCGCAGGTGCGCCAGTCTCTCCACGTGCTCGCGCCTTCTGCTGTCCCGACACGGCGGGCCCGGGGAACTCGAGGGTCATGCAGAACCCCCACAGATGTGGACGCCAAACAAAGAGTATGGATTCCTGCAGTCACGAAAACTTCAAATCAAGATCTAATCGCTGAAGGCTTTCGCAAAAATAGGCGCTAGCTGGGGGCTGTCATTTCACTCTTGCTTTCCTGTCTGAGACACCGAACTTGTGGCACGGCCGGATTTAATCACAGCCGGGAGACTTGAAATTCACGATAGCAATGGCTTGGTCTCCTTGTCTCCGACATTGCCATGATGAGCCTCGGCGGGTGACGGCCGTGGTGCTGCGATGTCTGCTGTGCGTGCAGAGGGAGAGGTTGGGCGCTCCGAGGCCGACGAAGAGGAGGATGAGGACGAGGTGGCGGTGGCCAGCGGCAATGACGGCGCCGAGGGTGTGTACGGCCTGGAGCACGGCTGGGGGGCGCACGCGCCAACCGGTGAGCCACCACACCACACTACCGCACTAACAGAACACTAACACAAAGACAAAGATCCCCCATATAGCCTTAACAGACTGTTGGGGCAAGTGCTATTTGCGAGCACCTTTTGAAGGCCGGCACGGCACACGAGGGAGGGGGTGGGGGGACAGCACCACGCCCGGCTGCCTTTGTCTCTCCAGTGGCGATGTTTACACACCGCACCAGGTACTTGTTTGAGGTCGAGTCGACCGAGGGGAGGCCCAGGACCGATTCAGATAATCGTCATTGGTGTCGGCCGTGAGCGGGAATGGAACTCGGGTCGCTGGGTTCGTAACATGACTCGCTAACCGTTCCACTACGGCTCGCACCCGAACCACACTCACGTGGCACTACTAGAAACCGCTCTCAGATCACCGTGGTCTACGGCGGTCCGCCTTTGTTTCTGCTCGGTGTGCCTATGTTCACTGCGGTGTACGTTCACCATGGGTTCACCACGGTTCATATATATATGTCTGTTCACCGTGGGTCCACCGCGGTGGCAGTGCCGGTGGAGCGTCCCCCGAGCCCCGTGGAGCCGGACGCCCCCCCGTTCCACGACGGAGACGGCGACGGCAGCGACCGCAAGGTCAAGATGGAGCGCGACGACTCCTGTGATGGTACCTCCCGCTGCCCCTCGCCGCCCTCCCACCCCCACAGCCCTGCCTTCACTGCTTCCGCTGTTCTGCACTCCTGCCCTGCCCATTGATTCCATGCCCCCTCCGTACTGCAGCAGGAGGCCAGGTTTGCATTGGAGCAACCCCGGGCCCAGCAGGGGGCGTGCGCAGCAGGGGGGGCTGGGACCGGCAGGAGCCCCTGGGGGGCCCCGCGTCTGAAGGCCCCGCCTCCCGCGGGGGGCCCCTCCCCTGCGTGGGCCCCGCCTCTGGGCAGATGGAGCAGTCCGAGGGGATGTCCAGAGAGGGGCTGGGGGAGACGTACGGCAGCCTCGACACGGACGCGTACAGGTACGGGGGTTGTGTGAGCGATGATGCCAGGCGTCTCGGTCAACCCATGGCACCTGCTGGGTCTGTCCCGTGACTTCCTGCGAGCGGGCTTTCGACGCTTCACATGGCCTTAAATTGGACATAGCCCGGCACAAGCACCGTGGTGACGTCACCAACACTCAGCAGCGAATGACGGTTGTTTCTACGAAGGTGTGTGTGTGGTGGTATAATTTCACAGTGGGTGGAACAGGTGGTGCATATCAGCCATCTCAGTCAGTGACAGACGGGTTTGTCCTGTGACCTGCCAGCGAGCCTTCCACACCGTAATAGCCTCAATGCACATAGCCTGGCACAAACGTTGTGGATGTCACTGTCACTTTGCATCTTAAGGTAACCGTTACAGTGTGTACGTGGGTGTGATTTATGCTGTGAATGTGTGGGATGGTGTGTGATGGTGCATGTGTGTGACGGTGCATATGATGGCGTGGGTGTGATGGTAATGGTGATTGTCATTGTGTACGTCTATATGTGTGATGGTGCCTTTATGTCAAAGATCCCCCATATAGCCTTAAGAGACTGTTAGGGCAAGTGCTGTTAGCGAGCACCTATGAAGGCCGGCACGGCACACGAGGAGGTGGATGGCCAGCACTACGCCCGGCTGCCTTTGGGCGGAGCGGCAGTGTAGCGGTTAGCGCGCTGCGCTACAAACCCGGTAACCTGAATTCGATTCCCGCTCATGGCCAACACCAGTGATAAATATTATCTGAACCGGTCCTGAGTCAACCTCCTCTAGGTTGACTCAGCCTCAAATTAATACCTAGTGTGGTGTGTAAACATCGCTTCTGGAGAGACATAGGCGGTCGAGCGTGGTGCTGGCCACCCACACCTCATCTGCCATTCATAGGCATTCATAGGTGCTCATTAACAGCACTTGCCCCAACAGTCTGATTAGGCTACACGGGGGATCTCCGTCTCTGTTTGCCTGTGCGTCCGTGGTGTGAACCGTATCCGCCGCTCGGTGTGCCCGCATCTCAGCTTCGTGTCGGATGCCCCGGTCGGCCCAAGCTTCCCGCTGGCCCCGCTGCCCCCTCCTGCCACGTCGCGCTGGTGCCGCTCCTCGTCGTCGTCGCTCACGCTGCCGTCGCTGCCCCTGCCGCTGGCGCTGCCCCTGTCAGAGCGGCCGTTCGCCTGCGGCGTGTGTGGCCAGCGCTTCCGCCACAACTGCCAGCTGCGCGTGCACGCGCGCATCCACGCGGGGGAGAAGCCGTACGCGTGCGGGCAGTGCGGCCGCACCTTCTCGCAGGCGGGCCACCTGCTGTACCACTCGCGCACGCACACGGGCGAGCGCCCCCACGTGTGCAACGTGTGCGGCAAGGCCTTCACGCAGTCGTCCAACCTTAACCGGCACAAGCGCACGCATCGCAACGACGCCGGGCCCGCCGGGCTCTAGCCCGCCGCTTGCCCGGGCCCTCCCTCCTCCGCGCTGGGCTGACTCCCCCCCCCCCCCCCCCCCCACCTTGAAACTACCAGGTCCTACCGCCAACCCGAAACCGCCGGGTTTTGCCGTCCCTCCTGACTTGACTACCGGCGGGGGGGCCCATCAGTCTCTTGGGGGGCGCCAACTGGGCCCCGCCGACCGCACACCGAAACGCCGGAGGCTCTATCGTGAACGATGCGTCGATTCCGCTGCTCGCAGTGCTGCAGGCGCATCGACTCATGCGCGAGCGAGCGGCTTACGCACGCGATATGCAATTGTTACGTTACAGGCTCGGGTGGAGCAAATAACAGCGTACAAAGTGAGGTGTGAAAATAAAGAGAGAGGAGAAGCAATGCAAAAACGGGACGATCAAAACGAGACGGAAAAGTATCGATTTTCGAATCGAATCGCAAGCCTGAATCATCAGGCTTGTGATTCAGGCTTGTGATTCAGGCTTGAATCATCACGCGCCTAACACCAATGGCGGTGACATGGCCCAGCAGTATCGTTCGCCTCTTGTTGCAAAGGTACACGGTTCGGATTCATCGGCTGCCCTGATGAATACTGCAGTGTGCATTGACCGTAAAAAATATTACGTAAAAAATTACGTTAAATATCACAACGGGCGTTTTGAGATCCCGTGACGTTCGCAAGAGTAGGTCACTGCTTCCTGGCGTCGCGGTCCAAATTTGAAACGAGACTCGTAAATTCCTCAATTTGGTCTATACGTAGCATTGGAAACGCCTGAAGAAGAATCGTAATACTTGATGAGGCTTTCCTGGGTAAGTAGACGTAATAAAAATGCCAAAGATGGCACTCTTAAGAGGCGACGACCTCGGCCATCACCTTGACAAGGTGAGACACTCCTGGGCAAGAGGAGGAGATATTTATATTTACACACACAAACACGTGCCCATACACCCTCCCGTTCGCACACCTACATGTGTGCACGTACACCCACGGTGCGCGCGCCCTCATCAGAACGGTCCCCGTGCTTAGGAGCGGACGCTTAAGAGCCAGGGCCTTACGGAGGCTGAGCAACTGCAACCGGAGACGGCGGCCACGGGGATCCCCCCCCCCCCTCCTATGTGTCTCCACCTTGTGTCTCACCGGTATCCCCCTCTGTGTGCGCGTGTCTCTTATCCCTCTCGTCTCGTGTCTCCTGTTGCTTCGTGTCTGCCTCGTCTCGTGTCTACGCCTCGTGTCTCAACACCCTCGCCTCTCCACGCGTGTTCACGCTCCCTCGCCGAGTCCGCCGTGCTTTTGACCGGGCGCACGTTCAAGCGGCAATGATCCAACGATCCATTTTGAATCGTAGCGACGATGATTACAACGACGGCGACGAAGATAACAGTAAATGTATGTTTATTTTAACCTTATCATAGTTTACACAATAAATTCAGCGTTGTAAGGCTTCAGAATGCGGGGTACAAAATGAGCACGTGTGGTTTGTGAGCACGGCGGATGGGAGCCAGGCTGAGCCAGGGTGGGGGAGAGGAGAGGAATCGAGCGGTCTAGGACTCGCGGCACAACAACAACAAAAAAACCACGCGAAAATTCAAACCAGCAACGAAATCCGCACGCGGGCGTTTTAAATCGAACACCGCGTGCAATCGCGGCTGAGATCAGCGAGGGGGGAGGGAGGAGGGCTGACGGATCGCGGCACACTCAGTGGTCCTTGTCAGATTAGGGAGGGCGGAGCGTAATGGGAACAGGAATTGGGTTAAAAAGGTAAGGTCTGGTCCAGGGGTTGGGGACCACCAGGTGAGGGTCAGGTGATATTGGTTAGAGGTTGAGGCGTCTGGGTAATAACGAGAGGTCTGCGTCACACGTTCGAGACATTGGGTCAAGATCACAGGAATTGAGTTGGGGTTTTGTTCAGGGCGTCTGGGTTATGGCTTTAGAGAGCCGGGGTAAAGTCCGGGTCGCGGGGCGAGGGCAGGGTCTGGAGCGTCTGTCTCGTCGTCGTGCTGCCCCGGGGTGGGGGGGGGGGGCCTCAGCATTCCATGTCGGAGTCGGAGTCGATCTTGAAGATGGCATCGTCGAGGTACCCGTCCTCGATGAAGCCGTCGTCACCGCCGTCTTCTCCGGCGCCGCGCGTCACGCCGCCCGCCGCTCCGAGCCCCGGGCCCGACACCACGGCGAGGCCGGACTCCCCCAAGTTGTGGCCGTGGGCACGGTCGCCCTCGGCCAACCGCTGGTGGCGGAAGCCGCGCAGGTGCTCGTAGCAGCTGCGCCACTTGACGGCGATGGCGAGCAGAAGCGAGAGGCCCAGCCCCACGCCCATGACTGCGAGCACGGCGTGCAGGGCGCGGCCGGGTTTGCTCGTGCCGGTGCTCGCCGCGGTGGTGCTGTTGCCGCTTGCCGCTGGGGTGGTGCTCGCCTCCGCCTGTGCGGCCACACGGGGTGAAGAGGAGGAGGAGGATGAGGGGGGTGCTCCGTTACTTCACACCGCTCCTCTGTTATTTCAGTAACCGCGTGAGAGGCCGACGGGATTCGCGGCGTCTCTTTACTAAGCGGCGGCGCTCGTTGGCTTTGCTTTTGCAGCCCTGAGCCAGTGGCGGAAATTCCATATTCTTGTGACAGAGGCGAGTCTCCTGTTGCACAACCATTGTTGGCTTCCACCCGAAGGGATGGCTGTTTTATCCACCCTGGAAGGGCGATGGGCTCGGTCGACTCCCCCCTTTTCCCCAATTGAACTTTGAACCTGCGCCCTTCCAAATACGATCCACATCCTCTACGGTGTCCAACATCCACTTGGAACGAGACCCTGCTCTTTGCTCATCATAAAAAAAACAATCAAATAGTCCCGGGTTAAAACTTTAATACGATATTAAGGATCTGGCGGTGGATATTGGAGTCTCAGACGGGCCTCGATTGTGGCAGTGAGGGCCCCCGTGATCCCTGTGTGCGTGTGGGACGTTGCGTCTCGGCCCGTCGTTGTTTTGCTGCGGGGTGGGGGGGGGGGCGCGCACGCGCGCGCCCCAGACGCAGCGCGCGCGCCCCAGACGCAGCGCGCGTGCGCGCGCGCGCGCGCCCCAGACGCAGCGCGCGCGCGCGCGCCCCAGACGCAGCGCGCGCGCGCGCGCCCCAGACGCAGCGCGCGCGCGCGCGCCCCAGACGCAGCGCGCGCGCGCGCGCCCCAGACGCAGCGCGCGCGCGCGCGCCCCAGACGCAGCGCGCGCGCGCGCGCCCCAGACGCCCCAGACGCAGCGCGCGCCCCAGACGCAGCGCGCGCGCGCGCGCCCCAGACGCAGCGCGCGCGACCTTTGAATTCGCAACGCGCCCGGGGGTCCCCCAACAGCCGACGGTTGGCAGGGAGGGTCGGGAGTGCAGGCGCGGCAATAAACGCGTCGAGGAGGCGAGCCCCAACCATAAACACGAACCATCACTACAGCCGTGACCGTGTCCCTCGGAGACGACGTAAATAGCCGTGGCCTTCCTTAAAACTAAACTATCCATGGGGGCAGACGGCCTACGGCCTACGGGCTATCTACTCATGGATCGTGATGATGATGATGACGCATGGGTCACAAATGGAAACTTTTTTAAACTATACTTTCACCAGGCAAGGCCCACTGAGCTATGTAGTTACTTTTCCAGAAGCAACCTGGCCACAATTCATAGCTCAACCAAGTGGCTTATCACGTGCAAATTGATAGCAGCCAAATACTCTCGACGCGCGATGTTGATTCTGAATGTGGAGAGAAAAACCTGAGAACCCGAAGAAAAATCCACGCGACTGCGGCAAGAACGCGCAAACTCCAAATATACAGCAGCAGGCGTCAGGTCGGGGTTGAACTCGACGCCCTCCTGTGTACCAGGCGAGGGAGTTAACATCTCGCCACCGCGGCGCCTCCTAGGAGAGCCTCCGTGTTGTCTCAAGATGCACTCAGAAGAGTGCTGCTGCATTGAGATGTCTGTCAATTTATGAATGAGAGTGGCATTGTGTGGTAGGAAACGGGTGACCCCGGAGATAACCTATCATTCATAAGAAAGGGTGACACTTAAAGACTCCGCACAGATATCTTGAAGAATCAAACGCTGCCCTGCCATCTCCTGGCCACCTCGTGGTCCGAGTCTGGTGTTTCTGGGCAGCCACCCATCCAAGTGCTAGTCAGGCTCGCATCTGCTTAGCTGCAGAGATCTGCCCTGATTGGACTTATTCTGGCTGTTGCAACCTGAGGCGCAGTGTGGTGTCTCAGAGTGGCAGTGTTGAAAGGGAAGGGAGGCCAGAGCCTCTACGTAGCCTGGCCCAGCTGCCCACAGGCCCCTGCGACCCCGGGAGAACTGCATGGGCCCCGTGATAGTTGGGAGAGAATCGCTGGGCCCTGTGAAGGGTCAAACCTGGCACGGATCGATGAGCAGAGAGCAGAGCATCGCGCAGAGAACCCAGCAGGTTGCCATTGTGAACGCCTGCAAAATAACAAAGACACGAACACCATGACCACACAACGTGACATCAACCACGCCACCATTCACACCAGAACCATCAACACTGCGGCACCACACTATCCTACATCAACCACACCGCCACCTCCACGCCCTTCACCACTCCATATTAATCACCAGGACACAGATCCCCCTGTAGTCTTAACGTACTCGATAAGCAAGCGCTGTTCGCGAATAGCACCTATGAAGGCCAGCACGGTACACGAGGGGGTGGATGTCCAGCACCACTATCGGCCGCCTTTGTCTCCCTCGTGGCGATGTTTATACCACAACAGCTACTCATTTGAGGCTGAATCGACCTCGGGCAGGTCCGGTTCAGATAATCGTCACTGCTGTTGGCCGTGATTGATATTTGCCGGCTTTTTGTTGTTGCTCGGATTGCTATTTGCTCCATTGCTTTACTTTATTTTTGCTTTGCTTTTGTCAATTTTTGCTGACTCCAGGGTCAACTCTTGCAAATGAGACCCTTATCCCGCTATCTTTGAGTTCTCCTCCTTACCTGGTTAATCAAATCGACTTTGAAGAAATGAAAAAACCCACAGTGCCATATGCTCTGAACACCCATGCAAACGAGATGCATATCACGACGGTGGAATTATCCCCCCTCCTCTCCCATCGCAAATCGAGGGTTCAAACATCGTAATCAACAAATACGCAAACGCTGTACAGAGCTGGTACTCAGCGCTGAGACCGGTTGAATTAACGTGGACATTCAAACACACACACACAACTGAGAGAAACACAACCTGCGGGCTCAACACACACACACAATCCCAACACAATTCCCCTAGAACCTGTGAAGGTGTTGTACACACACGGAGAGCCGCCTTTCCGACTGTGACACTGCGCGTTTGCGTTGCGTTGCGACACAACGCTTGAGTGAGTTTTACTGCTTTTTCTTTAGCCTTATGTCAACATGGCCTAGAATGAGCAGTTGGTGATGCTGTGTGTAGTTAACATCGCCACCGGGGAGACAAAGGCGGCCGGGCGTGAGGCTTGTCACCCCCCCCCCACCGCGTGTGCCGTGCCGGCCTTCGTAGGTGCTACTCGCTCCTAACAGCACTTGCCCCAACAGTCTGTTACAGGCTACACGGGGGATCTTTGTTGTAATGTCAGTGACTGGGTGTCACTGTGTCACTCCGTGAGTTTCAATGTTATCCTCTGTGTGTGTGTGTGTTAGGGTTTTACGGCTTGTCACAGTGTGTCGCTGTGTGTGTTACAGTGTGTCGCTTTGTGTATCACACTGTGTCGCTTTGTGTGTCACAATGTGTCGCTGTGTGTGTCACCAATGTGTCGCTGTGTGTGTCACCAATGTGTCGCTGTGTGTGTCACCAATGTGTCGCTGTGTGTCACACTGTGTCGCTGTGTGTGTCACACTGTGTCGCTGTGTGTGTCACACTGTGTGTGTCACTGTGTGTCACAATGTGTCGCTGTGTGTGTCACCAATGTGTCGCTGTGTGTGTCACACTGTGTCGCTATGTATCACACTGTGTCGCTGTGTGTCACAATGTGTCGCTGTGTGTGTTACACTGTGTTGCTGTGTGTGTCACTGTGTCGCTGTGTGTGTCACAATGTGTCGCTGTATCACAATGTGTCGCTGTGTGTGTTACAATGTGTCGCTGTGTGTGTCACCAATGTGTTGCTGTGTGTGTCACAGTGTGTCGCTGTGTGTGTCACAGTGTGTCGCTTTGTGTGTCACAATGTGTCGCTGTGTGTGTCACCAATGCGTCGCTGTGTGTGTCACACTGTCGCTGTGTGTGTCACACTGTGTCGCTATGTATCACAGTGTGTCGCTGTGTGTGTCACACTGTGTCGCTGTGTGTGTCACACTGTGTCGCTGTGTGTGTCACACTGTCGCTGTGTGTATCACAGTGTGTCACTGTGTGTGTCACAATGTGTCGCTATGTATCACAGTGTGTCGCTGTGTGTGTCACTGTGTGTGTCACACTGTGTCGCTGTGTGTGTCACC